TGCTTGCGCCTGGAAGGCGCGTGTCACTGTATGTGTGTGGTATACACGCGAAGTGGAATGTTGGCAATGTGAAATTAGTCTTGAAAAAGTCTCTGTGTCTCTGTGGATACAGAAAATGAAAACCATTCTCCGACATCAGAAGTGGGATCGCCTCCTCACCAAGTTAACCAAGAGGATCGCTTATGCTTTATTCTGGAATTACAACACCGCAATTTAATTGAAGTGATAAAGGCAGTAAGAAACGGACATCTGTCGCAAGGTGCTTTCAAGACAGTTTTTCCAAAGTTCAACCCCGACAATTCGGGCTCCAGTGCTGCCGCATGGTGTTGTACAGTGGATCTAATCCTAGCAGAAAACTCTTTGGAGGGCAGTGCTCTTCTCGTGGCACTCAGCAAATCGTTGTTATTGGGGGAACATTGATCTCAAAATTCTGTCAGTTACACGAAGAGTTTAATGTGCAGTTAGTAGGCACAATACCAAGAGGGTTGCCAAATCCAACATTACCACGCCTGGATCTGGTCCCATTGGTAGCAGTTGATTCTATTGCCATAGCAATAGTAACCTATTCTATTGTAATGTCAATGGGATTGACATTTGCCAAGAAACATGGCTATGAGGTGCGTGCTAATCAGGAGCTCATTGCCATGGGTGTGGGTAACGTTGTCGGTGGCTGCTTTTCTTGCCTTCCATTAGCCTGCTCTTTGTCACGTTCAGTTATACAAGATCAAACTGGCGGAGTTTCACAAATAGCATCGTTGGTATCTGCCTCTCTAGTAGTCATCACATTAATGTGGATAGGACCTTTTTTCAGTGCTTTGCCCAGGGTAAGTTTAATTAAATATCAAATCGCGCTTACCCTCACATTAACTTTTTTTCTTTAGTGCGTTTTGGCTGGCGTCATTATTGTTGCGTTAAAGCCAATGTTTATGCAGATCAAAGAATTGAAGAAGTTCTCCAAGCAGGGCAAACTCGAAATGTTTACCTGGATATCTACATTCTTATGTGTAGTGCTCATTGACATAGATATTGGGTATATAATATAATATATATTTTTTTTTTTATTTAACATATTATATATATTATGACTCATTGTTTCTTTCAGTCTGCTAATTGGCGTTTGCGTATCTTTACTGGCATTATATATTAAGGGCCTTAAGCCTTATTCATGCCTCCTGGGATACATGCCCGAAGCGCCTGGCATCTATATGGACATGAATCAACATCGTAATGTTATGCAAGTGCCAGATACTCGCATCTTTCGCTATTGTGGCTCCCTCAACTTTGCTACAAGCCTGTTCTTTCGTCGTGCTCTCTATGAGTCTTTAGGACTTGATAAGAGCAACAACAGCAGTAGCCAAACAGACAAGGCAAAGTCAAACTATGTGCTAGTGGCTCAGAACGGTGCCAACGAAACCAATGGCCCAATAGTTGACTATTCGTTTAAGTTTCTAATACTGGATTTTTCAATGCTGGGGCATATCGATGTTGCCGGATGCAGCACATTAAGTGATATCAACAAGGAGCTAAAGGCGCGTGGTGCTCGGCTGCTGCTTGCTAGTCCCATGGACCGCGTGTACGACACGCTAGTACATAGCATGGCCCTTCGCGAAGGTCCATTTGAAATCTTCCCTACGTTGCATGACGCCGTAGAGTATGTGACTGCCTGTCGAAGTTCGTAAAAATCAATTAGTTCTTTGCAGCACGGGAAAATAACCTAACAGTCGTAGCACTAGCTTGCGGCTATCCACTAAGTTATTAAGCTTGTTGCTGTCGTTAAGATTTGGCAACATTTTCTTAAGGGGTCTGACCTTACTGTCAATGTTACCTACTATATTAATGCCAGATACAAAAATTGTTTGTACTTAATGCCTTAAAGGTATGGGCAGAACGTTCAGTAACTTAAAATAAACACCTCCGAGCAACAGAAACTGTAATAAAATGTGTCTTATGAAATTTATACTAAATATATCATTTTAACTAGATCCTAAGCTTGTACAAAGCAATATGTGAACTAATATAAATATGAAATTATAATGTTGCATAAATTACACTGTGCTATGCACAACTGACTGATCTTTTACGTGATCTAGTACATATTGTGGGGGTGATCGAGAATACATAAAAATAGTTAAGAATGTTCAAGTCGATGTTGTCGGAACATATTCTTATGTTTAGGTGGATGTTCGATTTCTAAACAATTTTTAGGATATAAATATGGCACCCAAATGTGCGATATTCCGATTCAAAACCGGGCATTGCCTGGTAAGTACCACTTAGTTCCTCTTAGGAAATCTTTTAAAAAAAGCGGTCATCGCCAAGATAAATTTGCTAATTCAATCAAAATAGTTTCTTTATTGTTCCCGTTGAGCCAGGTTCCAGAGGCGTTATTTTTAATTAAAATCTCTGCTTTAATCTTCATATAGCGACCATTGTTAATGAGGCCAAAGGTGAATTTGGATTCATTAAACGTTGGTCTAAGGAGTTTACCGATCCCTTCATAACCATACTTCTGAACATCTCTCTTGTACGCCTTTTTCTTGAATACTGTTTTTTTATCTGGTCTCCGCAGTATAATAATAGCCAAGAGCTTCCGTTGTTAACCAACCGCATGACAATCCTCGGGGTTGTCTTCCTACAAAGTTGTTGGCGACAATGACCCTTATTTTCTGTTAGGGCGTAATAAGGAGTGATTTTGGCGGGGCTATAGAACTTAATCTACCCGGGTTCAATTTGCGAGAAATCTGGAAATACACTGATAGAAGAGGTGGGAAAGAAAGGTTAGTCCAGCTACGTTATTGTTGGTAAGAATACCTATGCGTTGTCATGTGGGCATGGACACTTTTTGGATCGGCCATGGACGCACACTTTCACAAGTTTGTACATATATATGCAATCATTTATGCGTTTGTGTGCCTATGCAAATATGTCAAGACTAGCGGGTATAAACCGGCCTTGACCGTGGCACGGATAAAATAAATGTTCTCAAAAACTTTAAAAATGATTTTGCCACTGATCGGACGGTAAAAAAACAACTTTCATTCCGCGAATTTACCACTGTTTCGGGTGGAACTTCCCAAATCGCTGAAATACGTATTCATTAGGTTTTCCTGTAAAGCTTTGAAAATAAGTTTGAAGCAAATTTAACACAACTTAAAACTTCGCCCAAAAAATCTTTAAATCGCATTTCTACCGAAGAATTTAGGATTCTGCGAAAAGTGTGAAACACGTCGCAAATGATTTTTCATATACATACATTGATCTTTGGAAATGAATTTGAGCGCGAAACGTCACCCACCAAATGTTTGACCCCCCTTTCCACCAAGGAGGAATGCATTTTATGAAAAGTGTGAAACACCCGTCATATGAATTTTAACAAAGATCTTTGAAAATAATCCTTTGAAATGAATTTGAGCGCGTAACGTCACCCACCAAATCTTTGACCCCCATTTCCACCAAGGAAGAATGCATTTTATGAAAAGTGTAAGTGTAAGTGTTCATATGAATTTGAACAAAAATCTTTGAAAATGTGTTTGAGGCCGATCGTATTGTAAACAAAAAAGTATCGCACAAACGTTTTTCGCGATTTCGTGCCTTGACCGTGGCACGGATAAAATAAATGTTCTCAAAAACTTTAAAAATGATTTTGCCACTGATCGGACGGTAAAAAAACAACTTTCATTCCGCGAATTTACCACTGTTTCGGGTGGAACTTCCCAAATCGCTGAAATACGTATTTGTCGTGGCGTTTAATTTAAAGAAACACGAATGAAGATGTAAAAGCATAAATAAATGTAACTGTTTGAATTTCTCAAGAATGTGTCGCTTGCCTATTTTTATTTCTTCCATTCCATACTGATCTTTTCTGCATTGCTTTGTGCTTTCCACTATTGTGTGCCTGGCAGAGTTCTCTGTCCAGCGCAGCCTAGGCGTGACAATGAGTTAGAGAGAGAGAAATATAGTGCTTGCGCCTGGAAGGCGCGTGTCACTGTATGTGTGTGGTATACACGCGAAGTGGAATGTTGGCAATGTGAAATTAGTCTTGAAACAGATCTCGTTCATGCAACACGATGTCACGCCAAAGGAAGCGCTTGGCTCACAACGTAGTCTCTGTGGATACAGAAAATGAAAACCATTCTCCGACATCAGAAGTGGGATCGCCTCCACACCAAGTTAACCAAGAGGATCGCTTATGCTTTATTCTGGAATTACAACACCGCAATTTAATTGAAGTGATAAAGGCAGTAAGAAACGGACATCTGTCGCAAGGTGCTTTCAAGACAGTTTTTCCAAAGTTCAACCCCGACAATTCGGGCTCCAGTGCTGCCGCATGGTGTTGTACAGTGGATCTAATCCTAGCAGAAAACTCTTTGGAGGGCAGTGCTCTTCTCGTGGCACTCAGCAAATCGTTAGAGGGCAGTGCATCTAATTGGTTGTCCCAAATATCTTTTGCCGGTATGACATGGCTGGTGTCTAAATGGAAGGAAATGAGTATCGAGCACGCGGCTCAGATTGAACCCAAGCTGCAGCGGACAATATTTACAACGGACATCAAGACGCGCAACGAGATGCAAAAAGAATTAAAGGCATTTGCTTTTGGCAAGAAGAAGGACCATTCTGTTCAGGACAATTCTGCGAGCAAGAAAGCGCGATTACAACCCATTGTAAAATGTCACTTTTGCGGAAAACAGGGACACAAAGTTGCTGACTGCCGTGCGAGAGGTAAAACACAACAAGAATCTAAACAGCATGCTGCCCGTTCGTCCGAAGTGAAGAGTGGCACAATCATTTGCTTCAAATGTGGAAAAGCTGGACATATTAAGTCTGCTTGCCCTGGAGGATCATCATCATCGTTTCAAAATAAAGTGGATGAAAAGCGAGTGAACCTGTGCCACATAAAAGAGCCAATTGGTACCTTGATTCAATCTGGTGAGTCGTATCCATTTTGCTTCGATTCTGGAGCAGAGTGTTCGTTTGTTAAAGAAGCTGTGTCACACAAACTTCCGGGCAAACGAATCAACAACGTAGTAATTCTTAAGGGTATAGGAATTAATACTGTAACCAGCTCATTGCAAATTCTATCAAATGTTAAAATAAGCGAATACTCCCTTGAAGTTCTATTTCATGTTGTTTTAAATGATTGCTTAAATTATGATATTATAATCGGCCGTGAAATTTTGTATCATGACTTTAGTGTCACTATATCAATCGATAAGGTCAAATTGTTTAAAACAAAATCTGTATGTGCTGTAGCTGTTACTAATAACTGTTTTAAGCTAGAGAATATCGATACTGAGTTGTGCGATGTAGATAAATCTCTTTTATATGATATTTTAAACGAATATTCTAGCTCTTTTATCGATGGAATTCCAAAAAGTAGAGTTACAACAGGTCAATTAGAAATACGTTTAGTAGATTCAAACAAAACCGTTCAAAGACGACCATACCGACTCAGTTCAGATGAAAAGGAAATAGTAAGAAATATGATCAAAGAACTATTAGAATCAAACATTATTCGCCCTAGCTGTTCCCCGTTTGCCAGTCCCATACTCCTTGTTAAAAAGAAAAATGGCACTGATCGACTATGTGTTGACTATCGCGAATTGAATTCGAATACTGTTGCTGACAAATATCCACTCCCACTTATAAGCGATCAAATTTCTAGGTTACGCGGAGCAAGTGGGTTTCACCAAGTGGGTTTCACCAGATCCCCATTCATCCAGACTCGATTGAGCGCACAGCCTTTGTTACACCAGAAGGTCAATACGAGTTTCTGACGATCCCGATATCATTCGTACGAATTGGAAACGCTAGCTGTATTTAATTCAATAAAGCATTTTCGTCATTATTTACAAGGCCGACATTTTCTCGTTTACACCGATTGTAATTCACTAAAAGCTTCACGCAATAAAATTGATCTTACGCCTAGAGTCCATAGATGGTGGGTGTATATGCAATCCTTTAACTTTGACAATATAGACCAGGTAGTAAAATGTCACATGTAGATTTCTTCTCACGTAATCCATTACCTTTAAAAATGTCTTCCTAAGTTCCCATCAAGCGTGTACAATTAGCTGAGACACCGGAAAATTGGCTTCTTACCGAACAACAACGAGATCCTGAGACTTCTTCGATAATTTCGAAAATTCAAAACGATGAAATAGAGGAAAGTATAGCAAAGTCTTATGAGCTTAGATCAAAAATGCTGTTTCGGAAAATTCAAAGAAGCGGTAAAACTCGCTGTTTTCCAGTTATCCCCAGAGCTTTTAGATGGTCTGTAGTAAACCATGTCCATGAAGCAATTGTACACCTTGGTTGGGAAAAGACCCTAGACAAAATGTATGAGTTTTACTGGTTCGAAAATATGTCTAAATACGTGCGTAAATTTGTTGACAACTGTATTACCTGCAAATTGACTAAGCCACCATCAGGCAAGATACCAGCAGAACTTCACCCAATACCGAAAGTAGACATTCCGTGGCATACGGTATATATTGATATCACTGGCAAGCTGAGTGGCAAAAGCGATCAAAAGGAATATGTTATTGTCCAAATCGATGCATTTACAAAATTCGTCTTTTTATACCATACTGTAAATATTAATTCCGAAAGCTGCATTAATGCCGTAAAGTCATCAATATCCTTGTTCGGCGTACCAACAAGAATCATTGCCGATCAAGGCAGGTGTTTTACGGGGTCAGATTTTAGTAAATTTTGCTCTATGCATAAAATAGATCTACATTTGATTGCAACAGGCTCTAGTCGCGCAAATGGTCAGGTGGAGCGCGTTATGAGTGTGTTGAAACGTATGTTAACTGCTATAGAGAGTAGCGAGCGTTCCTGGCAAGACGCTTTAGGTGAAATAGAATTTGCCATAAATTGCACAACAAATCGAGCTACGAAATCTAGTCCTTTAGAATTATCAATTGGAAAAGAAGCTAGACCCTTCGGCATGTTACATGTCTGTGAGGATGATAGTAAAGTAGATGTAAGCTTTGTGAGAAAAATGGCTAAAGACAATATAGAAAAGAACGCTGCATATGATAAAATTAGATTCGATAAAAACAAATCAAAATTTGTAAG